ATTAAACTCAGGTCCAGCGTGGCTGCGGGAGGGTCTGGAGATTTCCTGGTGAGCTGGTCTGATGTGTGGGCTGTAGAGCCTGCGCTCTGGTTTTTTTTTTTTTTTTTAGAACTTTTTATTAACAACATATAAACACAGAACACAGCTGTGGCTGAGGCTGCCAGCGCTTGTTTTTTTTTTCCTGACCTGTCAATCAATCCAGTAGGCGTGTCACCAAATGACCAATCGGCGACCTCAATTTGTCCCGAAGGTAAACGCCCCTTGTCTGTGAAGCTGCTCTGCAGCTGCTCAGGGTGGACGCTCGAGTATGAAGTCTGAACCCTCTACGTACAGTACACACGTACGCACGCGTGAACGGACGTACGCAGGAGTATACTGGGGGCTTTACAATGCTGTTATTGCTAGTATCACTCAGCCCTCTGTGAATAGCAAACAGCCATTAGGGTGCTAATGATCCATTGTTAGGCTGATGGTCCTCCTTGATTCTCATTGGTATGTTGAACAGCTGGTTTTGGTCGTCAGCAGCAAACTGGTTGATCCACTATGAGAAGGTGCCATTTATAAGACTGAGCTGAATACAGCACCTCAGACTGAGGAAGTCTTTCGGATGAAAGATGAAACTTTTTTTGTTTTGTTTTTGAACGTCCAGAGGACCAGACTTAACTTTTTTAGATACACTAAATAGAGTATTTACCTTTAACTTTTTGTGTCACCTCTTTCTTCATGTCTCGACTGCCTAACACATGGTGTTCCACCCACTACAGAGAAAATGATGGATCCAAAGCAGCTGTTTGAGGTACACTGGATCTGAAAAGGGAGCAGTGACCCCCTTCTGCTCGAGCCATTCGCACACTGATAAAGATGCCTTGAGCGTTTTTTTTTCCATCTCTTGTTGTTGTTTTTTTGTTTGTTCTTCAGATTTTTAAAAATCATGTTAATTTGATTGGTTGTGCTGCAGCTCACGCACACATATGTACTGAGTGTGGAAAAACAGAGGGACCAGAGCCGTATGAAGAGAGTTGCGACACTCCCATAAACTTCTATAGAAAGAATGGAATGCAGAAGTCACGTGGGTCATGCAGCTGCAAATAGTTCCAAACAGCAGTGGTTCCAGCATTGAACGTAGTTCATTCTCCGTGTTTCTGGTGTTTTTTCCATTTTAGTGTTATGTTGCGCCAGTAGCTGCTCAAACTGACTGACTGCGATGAGCTGTTTGGAACTATTGAGAGCTGCATGAAACAGTTGATGCCCGACAGAATGCCCGACAAGAGAAGGAAACACGCTGGATCACTGTTACACCACAGTGAGCGGTGCTTATCGTGCTGTGCCTCGTGCTGCCCTGGGTCTCTCAGATCATGAGATGATTCACCTCATACCTGCATACAGACAGAGACTGAAGCTCTCAAAACCTGTGGTGAGGACATCCAAAAAGTGGACCAGTGAAGCTGTGGAGGAGCTACGCACGTGTTTGGACACCACAGACTGGGACCTGTTCAGGGCTTCTACAGACAGTCTAGACGAATACACAAACACTGTGACGTCATATATACATTTCTGTGAGGACAGCATCATCCAATCACGCTCCAGAGTCATTTTCAATAATGATAAACCCTGGTTCACATCCAAACTAAGACAGCTTCGTCAGCAGAAGGAGGCTGCTTTCAGAGAGGGGGACAGAGACAACTACAGACGTGCGAAGTATGGATTTAGCAGGGAGGTGTCGAAGGCTAAATCCAGGTACAACACACGGCTGCAACAACAGTTCTCTGCAAACGACTCTGCCTCTGTCTGGAGGGGGCTGAAAGAGATAACTAATTACAAGCCCAGAGCACCTCATTCTACAGACAATCTCAAACTGGCAAACGATCTGAACGACTTCTATTCACGCTTTGAAGTCATGGACTCACATTCCTCCATCCTCCACACCAACCCCAGCTCAACTGGTTTAACCACTTGGGACTGCCCCCGACAACCCCCTGCTATCTCTGTACAAGAGGATGAAGTAAGGAGGCTTTTTAAAAGAATGAATACACATAAGGCTGCAGGCCCAGACCTTGTGTCACCCTCCACGCTGAGACATTGTGCTGGAGAGTTGGCTTCGGTCGTCACAGGGATCTTCAACTCTTCACTGGAGTCATGCCACGTCCCAGCCTGTTTCAAGTCCTCCATCATCGTCCCTGTCCTCAAGAAGCCACGTGTCACAGGACCAAATGACTACAGACCTGTAGCTCTCACGTCTGTAGTCATGAAAACCTTTGAACGCTTGGTTTCATCTCACCTCAAGTCCATCACCAACCCCCTCCTGGACCCCCTGCAGTTTGCCTACAGGGCCAACAGGTCTGTAGAGGACGCAATAAACCTGGCTCTCCACTTCATCCTGCAGCACCTGGACTCCCCAGGAACCTACGCCAGGATCCTGTTCGTGGACTTCAGCTCCGCATTTAACACCATCCTCCCTGCTCTGCTCCAAGACAAGCTCTCCCTGCTCCATGTACCTGACTCCACCTGCAGGTGGATCACAGACTTCCTGACAGACCGGAGTCAGTGCGTGCGGCTGGGGAGAGCTGTCTCGGACACTCGGACTATAAGCACAGGATCTCCACAGGGCTGTGTGCTTTCCCCCCTGCTTTTCTCCTGGTACACCAACTGCTGCACCTCCAGCCATGACTCTGTGAAACTTATGAAGTTTGCAGATGACACCACCCTCATCGGGCTCATCTCGGACAGTGATGAGTCTGCATACAGGAGGGAGGTGTACCGGCTGGTGACCTGGTGCAGCAGCAACAACCTGGAACTCAATGCCCAGAAGACAGTGGAGATGATTGTGGATTTCAGGAAAGCCACAGCCCCTCTGCCCCCCCCCC